GTTGGGGGACCAAAGAACACATAGTGCTCAAAGTTATAGCCCTTGTAGGCATCCTAATGCCACTTCTTCAGTTTTGGTTGCAGTTTTTGCATGAAGGAACAATATGTTCCAAGACAGGCACTGGGCCTAATATCACCTAAAGCAGCAACTATCCTGGATGAACAACAGTTTACTCTTAACAAGTGGTTCAACTTTAAATTACGTAACAATCAACAGTAAAGGCATTAACATAGTCAAAATCACGTTTTATTAACATGATTAGCTAAAAGTTGACTCTTATCACTCATTTAAAATAATTAAATTCAAAAACCCTCAATTGATTGGGAACTTACTTCTTCTTTGAGATGAACACATCCTCCGGTGAGCGTATCCTCTTGCGCTCTCGATTTTCCTGACTTTTCATGCTCAATAGGGTTTCCATCGCCTCGTTACTCTCCTCATCATCAGAGGATGGCGGAACAGAACCGCTGGCGTGAGATATCAAGGCGGAGGTGGAGGGGGATAAGTTTGGTAGTTCCTCCTGCGCAAGTCGTGCCAACCGACGCCGGTGACGAACGTCCACTTCCATTTGAATCTGGTCTACTTCACCCTTGCGTCGTTTAGGGTTCTTAGCCATTTCTCTTATAATTTTCTTCGGCATTTTCCTTGTGGATTTCCTGGCCGCTAGAGTCAAACTAGGGTTTTCAAATTGGGTTCGCAAGCTGAAGGAGGTTCGAGTTTTTGGGATATTTGTGGGTCTGCAAAGAAAAGAGCGCGAGCGAGAGAAAGAGGGAGGGCAGATTTGGGGGCGAACAGTTACAAGGGTAATTTCGTCTTTAGAGACGAACTGTGCTCTCAGAGTTGTCTGGGAAATGAAAAAGGGGCTGAAACATTATTGAGTTGGGTATTAGGGGCTTGATCACACAAAAAAAAATACAGGGGGCCTAGTCACAACCGGATCTTTTTTTTTTGGCCTTAAAACATTTTTCCCTAGTTTTTTTTAATATATATGTGTGTAACTATATATATAGTCTGGAAAAAAATGTGTAAATCAAGATAACCTGAAAAATATTTTCAACGCTAAGTTAAGAATGCAAAAATTTCATTATTTTTAATTAAAAGTCTAAATTAAGGCTTAAGTAAAGTATACTACTTTAAAAAATTATTTCTTAAGAAATTTATTTGGAGTTATCATAAAAGGTAAACTTGAGTATATCACTAACTAGGAATTAGAATATTTAAAAATCTATCAATTAGATCAATTATTACTTAACTCTATTAATTGGCAAGTTTTGTTTACTTAAAACTAACAAAAAATAAATGCTAAAAAAATATTACTGAAACAAAATACTAGCTAGGAAAATATAAACAAAAAGCTAACTAGCTTACACCCCCATACTCAGATTTTGCAGTGTCCTCAAGGCAAATACTGACAATAATATCCAAAATATCACAGTTTAATAAGTACATGCCGAAATAAAAATCAAAGAATGGGTAAAATAAAAAGAACATCCCTCACTGCTCATCTCCTGGTAGATCGTCATCCACATCATCAGCGACAGCTGCTGAACTTGGTCCCGCCTCATCCTCTCCTGGGAAATCATCTGACTGAAATGGTGTGATAAAACTATGAAGCTCAGGTGGAAGTCCATATGTATTTCCATGTTCTCTTTGTCATCCTCTCGCCAAATATGCCAATGTCTCGGTTGAGTAGCCAATCTGACAATGCATCTCGTGCATCTGACGCTGCATCCTGTGCATCTAAATCTGCATCCTTTCCATACGACTCTGCATCCTATCCATCTTCTCTCGAATGGGGTCATGTGTATCTGACTGGTGCTGAGGAGGCTCTCTACCTGAAGGACCGGACTGATCTCGCCCTGAAATGCTCCTCCTCACAGTCTGATCATTTAGTAACCCCTTCCCTGCTTCTAACCTATCCTCTGCAAATACTGGAGCATAAAATCTATGGCAGAGTCTAGTGATGAAATAGGGGTAAATCTGAGTTCATGATGCAGACTGTGTCTTGACCCAATCCAACACACCCTCCACTGATGAGTGCATCCATACAAATATAATTTTTGCTACATCAAACCGCTGACCAGTGGCTATCCAAAAAAGAAGGAGAATGTCGTGGGGGGTAATAACAGAATATGCAGTGGTGGGTTTCAAATCAAAGTGCAGGAAAAGATTAAGTAATCTGTATTTTGGTTTGAGATTTCCTGAACCGAAATTAGATGTAAAGATCCTCCCACACAAGGTTGTAGACATGTTATTGTATTCTGATGTACCAGGCTGTAATGTGGAGGCTAAGTGGAAGTAATCTGGTACATCAGTGGGTGGTTCTGCAAGATCAAGGGTAGCACAGATAGTGGAAAGATCGAAAACAACCCTAACACCCCTCACTATAGAAAAAGCTAAAAATTCTCTATCTGGATCAATTTCCCATCCAGAATAGAACTCATGGACTAATGAAATATTTGCTTTCTCTAGGGGTTTAGTCATCATGCTCCTAAGACCTACTGCAGTTAACATGGTGATTGTGGATTGATGTCTGTAAAACACTCATCTGAAAACCTCTCAAAATGAACATTAAGACCCACAATTCTGGCCAAAATTATGGGTCTATCTATATCGGTATTAAAAGGATCTTGAGAGGATGATGAACTTGCTCGGGATTTCTTTCTCGGGGGCATCTACAAAGAAAAAAAAAACATTTTAATAACAAAATCCCAAGTTTTTTTTAAAAAATTAGCTATAAATTGTTCAATATGAGTTAATTTCAAGTTATCAAAATTTCGTTTTAACAAAAAAAATCCTCAAAATTATTCTTTTAGAACGAAAAATATCAAAATTTTGATAACTTGATCAGTGAAGCATACATGTTGATATGACAATTATAAGCTAAACCTTATAAATGTTGAATAAAACATTCTCAATTATCCAATACAAATTTTCGAATGTGAGAAGTACCCAATTTTAACTTTTATTTGACCAATTACTCATATTTCATAAGTTGAACTGTGAATGTTTGAATTTTCAAAATTTGCACAAAACATCCCAAATTCAAATTTCAACTGGAATTTATTGGTAAAATACCCAAGTTGAATGTCTGAAAGTTTTCAGTTTGGCACAAAACATCCCAAAGTCCAATTTCATATTTTTCATGAAACCCCCAAGAAATTTTGGATTTGCATAAAACACCCTGTTTTTGAAATTTTCGATTTTTACACAAACTATTCCCAATTTTTTTTAGATTTTTGTACAAGATATCCTCAATTGAATTCCAAGTTCAAATTTTTGTGTTTTTGCACAAAACCCCCTAAGAAATTTTTGGATTTTGTATAAACCCCCTAAATTTTCGGATTTTGGACAAAATCCCCAATTATACCCTTAATTTGTCAAATTGATCAATTTTTATCATGAATCAACACCAAACTATGATAATAATCCAAAACTATTCATGATTCATCCACTAGATCATCCATGTATTCATTCAAAAATTAAAAAAATGAAATTACAAGATCAAGTTAGAAAATATACCTTGGGGAGATGAGGAAGAAGCCCAAGAAATTGAAGAAAAATCCCTCCAAGTGGTCTTGATTCTATATAAGTTTGATGGGTGAAATTAGGGTTTTAGAAAGGGGGAAATCGGGTTTTGGGGAGATGGAATGAAAGAGAAGGAAGTTGAAGGGTTTTTATTCCAATAGCCAGCGCATCGATGTTAGCATCGATACGGGCATCGATGATGGGCATCGATGCCAACATCGATGCCCAAATTTCTGGCGTTTGGGCCAGCCGACCCAAATACGATTTTTCTTCAATTTCTTTTTTCTTTTTTTTCTTTCTTATGGGCTAGTGAATATGGGCCGAATTTTTGTTGTTTTTTTTAAAGTGAAAGACAAAAATGTGTATATTTTATATATATATATTTATTTATTAAGTGAAAAACAACGCTCATCTCTCTGAGCCGCCGCTTTCTCCTCCGACAAGATCAGCCCTCCTCCGACGAGATCAGCGCTCCTCTCAATCTCTCACATTTCCCCAAATCTGTGCATCCTCCTCCGACGAGATCAGCCCTCTGAGCCGCCGTTTTCTCGAACGTCGTGATGCTGATCTCGCCGTCATCACTCTCGTCGTCATCCTCCCTCGGACTCGTCCTCATCCTCCCTCGGTCTCGTCGTCGTGCTGCTGATCTCGTCGTTGTGCTGCTGATCTCGCCATCGATCTGGTGCTGATCTCGCCGTTGATATGGTGCTGATATCGCCGTCGATCTGGTGCTGATCTCGTCGTCTTGAGCCAGAGTTCGTGAGCCAGATCCGCTCATCCTTCTCCGTCCTCCTCCCTCTGAGCTATCCTCTCTCAGGTGAAATCCCATCCCAATAAAAACCCAATAATAATTCCTGTTAGTTGGATTGAGTTAGTTGTTTGATAACAAGTCCGTCATCATAGTTAATCAAATTTCTGCTACAATAGATTTTTGTTCTTGGTTCATAGTTAATCAAATTTCTGTTAATAGATTTTTGTTCTTGGTTCATAGTTAATCAAATTTCTGTTAGTTGTTTACAACAAGTTCGTCATCATAGTTAATCAAATTTCTGCTACAAATAATTATATGAAGTTAAGTAATGATTTGGATAATAACCCCATGAGAATTTATAGTCTATAACAGTGAATTAGCTAAGTTAATCAAATTTCTGCTACAAATAGATTTTGTTCTTAGTTTATATTTATAGTCTATAACAGTGAATTTGCTAATGAAAAATTATCTGCGTGAAAGTTAATCAAATTGTTTATATTTATAGTCTATAACAGTGAATTTGCTAATGAAAAATTATCTGCGTGAAAGTTAATCAAATTTCTGCGTGAAAACAACAAATTAATAAGATAGACTTTGAATGCAAAGTGGGTTTTTGCAACTATTTTTCCCCAATGAATTAATAAGCTAAGTTTGTATTTCTAACCACAATAGAAATACTAAGTTTGTTTTTATTGAATTTATTTTCTTCTTTAGGAGTTCAATGGAGTCAGAGAATTCAACTACTGTAGAGTTCGGAATGAGAGAATCAAGTGTTATTGGAAGTGAAATTGCGGCCAATACTGTAAATCATCCTAAACCACTACTTGGAATGAAGTTTAATAGTTATGAAGAAGCTTATAATTATTATAACTCTTATGCATTGTTGATGGGTTTTGGAATAAGGAAGAGCACGGTAAATTACTCTCGCAAGACTAGAGAAGTGGTAGACAGAAAGTTTGTTTGTGATAAAGGAGGGCTATAAATCTAATAGACAAGATAGAGATCTCTCTTCGGCGAGAGACCCGAGTGGGATGTAAGGCAATGATGCGAGTTAAATTAATGGAGGACAAATCGTGGGAGGTCACGGGGTTTGTTGAAGAACATATAAATCATGTGTTGAGTAGTCCAGACAAAGCAAAAATGCACAGAGCACATCAATAATTTCATAAAACTCAAAGATGTAAAAAACTTATTGATAGTCTGCGAGAAGAAGGTATGCCTCCTTCCACTATTTCTCGCGTTATCAATGCAACCAATGGAAGAGACGGTGAACTTGTGACATCACAACAGTGCATTGATCATATCAGAACCCAAAGAGTCAACAATATTGGTCATGAATGCATATCTATCATTCGACATTTTCAGAGTATGACAGCGAATGATCCAGAATTTTATTTTGCAATAGAAGTAGACAGTAGTGGACAAATGAGGAGTTTTTTTGGGCTGATGGAAGATCAAGAGCATCTTATTTGCAATTCAGTGATGTTATTGTCTTTGATGTGACATACAGAACTAATAAGTTCAGTCTTCCATTTGCTCCATTTACTGGTGTAAATCACCACAGGCAGTCTACTTTACTTGGTTGTGCATTATTAGCCGAAGAACAGGAAGATACCTTTGTGTGGTTATTTCAAGAATGACTGAAATGCATGCATGGCATTGAACCAGGTGCTATTTTAACAGATCAGGATAGAGCAATGTGTAATGCTATTCACTCAGTGTTTCTAACGACAAGACACCGTTATTGCTATTGGCACATGCAAAAGCACATTATGGATCATTTGCCTACTTTGGGGTCTCGTTATGGTGAACAGTTTCAAAGGTATTGGGGCTTGTGGTATAATAGTTCTTCAATTGAACAATGTGAAGGATATTGGGTTGAGATGAAAGAGAAGTTTGATATAAATGAAGAAGGGGAGGGATGGTTGCAAACAGTTTACAAATGCAGAGAACACTGGGTGCCGTGTTATCTGAAGGACACTTTTTTTGCTGGAATGAGATCGAGCCAAAGGAGTGAAAGTATTAATGCATTTTTTGATGGGTATGTTAACTCACAGACTCAGTTACACGAGTTTGTGACACAATATGAAAAAGCAGTAACTCATCGCTTAAGTGAAGCCCATGAAGATTTTAATTTTTTGCTGGAATGAGATCGAGCCAAAGGAGTGAAAGTATTAATGCATTTTTTGATGGGTATGTTAACTCACAGACTCAGTTACACGAGTTTGTGACACAATATGAAAAAGCAGTAACTCATCGTCGCTTAAGTGAAGCCCATGAAGATTTTAAGAGTCTGAACACAAAGCCGGTTATGCTCCTTGGACATCCAATTGAGATCCAAGCTGGAGAAATGTATACACGCAATATGTTTGATGTGTTCCATACTGAATTCAAAGGATTTGGTACAGAGTTCTGTGAAGAATTGAGAAAAGATGGGGACATTGTTGAATACAAGATCTGTAAGTTTACAGATAGAGAAAAATGGGAGGTGGTTACTTATGAACAATCTAGTCATATTCAGTTCTGTTGCACTTGTGCTTTGTTTGAAACTAATGGTGTTGTATGTAGACATATATTGTCGCTAATGATAGCTATGCAGATGGATTCATTACCCGACCATTACATCCTACACCGTTGGACTATACATGCTCGACATCGTAACATTGGGGTTGGTAATATTATATTTGGAAGAAACATCACACGCTGTGAAGAGAAGATTAATTTATTGAAATCTTGGGCTTTAAGAGCAAAATTCAATAATGTGCTCGAGCTTGCATTTGCTTCAGAAGAGAAGATGCAAAAACTAGATGATGTGCTAACAAATTTCATAGAATCACTGGAAGAAGAAATTGGAGAAACTCAATATCAAATGATGGATATTCCTCAAATTTCCGCACCCATCTCACATACAATGGAGCACATTCCTCATATTACAGTTCGTGATCCTGATAGACCTGCAAGGACTAAAGGTCGTCCACACAATGCTACTAGAATCCAATCAGGTTTAGAACAAGCACAAGAAAAGAAAGAAAGGAAGAAACGTATATGTAGCAAATGTGGTGAACTCGGGCATTATAGAACTAGCTGTAAAGTCAACTTGCCAATGTACAATTAATATTTTTTCATGAAACTTTTTCTGTTTGATTAAATTCTCGGTAATGATTATTTTGTAATTTGATTTACAGCTCAATTCTCGGTAATGATTAAAATTTTCTCGGTAATGAAGGGCTCAATATTTTTGAGGTAATGATTTGCAGCATATGTTTACACATATGTGAAGAGCTGAATATAGTTTAATACGCTCAATTCTCGGTAATGATTAAAATTTCTTCTCTTTTATGCAGCTATCTTGTAAAATCCGAGTGAATATATAGCATCAATGGTGGCTGGTTGGAACACAAGTTGAGCATTCTCTTTTATGCAGCTATCTTGTAATGTGATTTGAGCTTATATTCAGCTACTTTGGTTGTAACTTTGGAGGTTAAGTCTGTCTTTGATGAAACTCTGTTTGATGTTGTAACTCATGATGTAACTCTGTTTGATGCTTGTAGCTTTGCTGTGGCTTATATTCAGCTACTTTGGTTGTAGCTCAATTCTCTTTTATGCAGCTATCTTGTAATATGATTTGAGCTTATATGCAGCTATCTTGTAATGATTATTCAGCTACTTTGGTTGCATATGTTTCTTGTGATTTGAGCTTATATGATTTGCAGCTCAATCCTGGTGTTTCAGCAGGGTTTTAGAAGCATTTGGAAGTTGTTCTGTGAAAAGCAGAAGCAATAATATTTTGTAAGGGACTGACCGTTTTTTTTTTTTGTTGTTGTGAAATTAATCACAAGGCTGATTATGGCCAAAGCTGTGAATATTTGAGATGTAATCCAATTCCAGTCATAATAAGTTTGAAAGCAAAAGCATCGTATGGTATAATGAAGTTATACCATACCCCCATATCATTAAGGGTGAGAATGTGTGATGCTGGGACTTGAAGCATACTTGAGATTCCAGTGCCTCGATCATGTCAAAACTAGAAGGCTGGGCTCTCAATAAGCTCTCAGGACGTTTAGCATCTACAAAATCCTGGGAATGGCTTCAACCGGAAACAAAATGCTGCATGATCATTCCTTCACTAAGATCCTCATGCTTGAAAGAACCTGTGTTCTAACTACAAATATTGATAGTAAACAACTGACCAAATACATGGTTTCGTTGAACATCGGACATTTGACAGTCTCCCCATGAAAAAGATACATGGTTTCAGCCCCACTATTCAATCTTACTTCCACATCAACCAAAATTTTAACTTTAAACTGCATCAAGTAGGACAAAACCAAACATCAATTTCGCCAGGAAACAACAAAAACCATCAAAATGGTCTCACCTGAACGAGTCCAGACTTTGCGAGTATAAAACAAATTACTATTCTAATTTGTCTGAAGATACAAATCCAGAACACCAGAAGTTCTCATCAACATACACTTCCACAAAGAAGGATAATACATTCTTACACTCTACTTAGCACAAATCCAATAAAAATACCAAATCCAATAAAAATACCAAATAAAAGAGCAAATACAACAAGCTTTAACAAATCCATAATATCAATCTCAATCTTTCTCTTTTCCCGCAATTCTACACTTGACACGGCTCTTGAAACTTGCGGCCTCACGTTCGACAGCTTTGTTTGAACAAGCCCTGTCTTTGAACCTTCAAACTCCTCTTCATCAGATACTCATTTGAAGAATCCACAATTACTCACTTTCCAATTAGCGCATCCCAAAAACAATCGACCATGGTTCGTCTTAGTTCCAGATCTAGAGAGTATAGCCCTCCTTCCACAATGACACAACAGTCCATGACGATTGCTTGAAGATGACTCCATGATTCACGGCTACAGACACAAAAGTTTGCATATTCATCGCAATTGAAAAATAATAATTGGCAAAAAAATTAAACTACAAGGGTCTGTCCCTTTCTCTTGCTTGGAATTCTAACCGTGATCAATGACTAACGAAGCGAACATTTCACTTTTCTCACAGCAAGTCACAGCATACCCAGTAGAACAAAATCAAAACTTGGCCCCTTTCAAAAGTTACCAACTTTAACTATCATATAACGTAAATTTTGATCAGCCAGAATCATTATTCTCGGTCCTCTTGCTCTCTCTTCACCACTGAATCTTCTCTTTGATAATAGCACGTCTCTCTCCTCTCAATTCAAAAATTTTCACTCTTCTTAGCAATATTTCGTAGTGGAAACTATTACAAGGACTCTGATATTAATAAAATAATAATAATTTTGTATTTGAAGAATGTGACATGATAATGAACATTTCAGGAAACATATATCAAAGATAAACTTTGCCAGAAACTAATATCTGAGAACGACATTATAGGAACAAAAAAACAACTGACATAGTCCTCGTAATACTTCAGTAACCACCAATGAATTTATGAACCTAGTTATCTAACCACTAACTCAATCCAAAACCACTACATAATCCATCAAATAATTAAAATAAGCAGATCAATGTAAAGAATATTGGTCGATGAGAGAAAGACCAGGTTTCATAAGAGAAAGACCTTGTTATCAAACAACTAACTCAATCCAACTAACAGGAATTATTATTGGGTTTTTATTGGGATGGGATTTCACCTGAGAGAGGATAGCTCAGAGGGAGGAGGACGTAGGAGGATGAGCAGATCTGGCTCACGAACTCTGGCTCAGGACGACGAGATCAGCACCAGATCAACGACGAGATCAGCTCGATGGCGAGATCAGCACCAGATCGACGACGAGATCATCAGCACGACGACGAGAGTGATGACGACGAGACCGAGGGAGGATGAGGACGAGTCCGAGGGAGGATGACGACAAGAGTGATGATGGCGAGATCAGCAGCACGACGTTCGAGAAAGCGGCGGCTCAGAGGGCTGATCTCGTCGGAGGAGGATGCACAGATTTGGGGAAATGTGAGAGATTGAGAGGAGGGCTGATCTCGTCGGAGGAGGGCTGATCTCGTCTATATTTCCTTTTTTTATTTTTATTAATTTTTTCTTATTTTTTTACAAAAAATATGGTTCATAGAGAATCAACACCTCCTCTCCGAGTGTAGAAAATTCTAAAAATGATTTTAGACGTTGACCATTAATTTTGAAAATATCACTATTTTTAGGATTTTTTATCTCGACGGCCCCATGTGAGAAAACTTGTTTTACAATAAATGGACCTGTCCATCTTGATCTCAATTTCCCAGGAAAAAGATGTAATTTTGAATTGTACAATAAAACTTTTATCTTGGAGAGAAATTTTTTCGTAAAATTGATTTGTCATGAAAAATCTTGATTTTTTCTTTGTAAATTTTTGAGTTTATGTATGCATCATTTCGAATTTCTTCCAACTCATTTATTTGGAGCAATCTGTTCTTACATGCCAAATTCTGAGTCAAAATTCAACTGTTTTATCGCACATATTGCTCGATGCTCCAACTCTACTGGTAGGTGACAAGCTTTCCCAAACACCAGTTTGTATGGTGACATCCCCAAATTGGTTTTGAAAGCTGTTCTATATGCCCACAGAGCATCACATAATTTTACAGACCAATCTTTTCTGTTATGATTAACTATTTTTTTTAAGATTTGTTTGATCTGCCTGTTTGTGACCTCTACTTGACCACTGGTTTGGGGGTGATAAAAAGTCAACAATTTGTGTGTGATTGAATATTTTCTCATCAAAGCTTCAAAAGAACGGTTACAAAAATATGTACCGTTGTCGACAATTTGTGTGTGATTGAATATTTTCGACGAAGATGATGAAGACGGAGGCGTGATTGATTATTTTCGACGAAGACGATGAAGACGGAGGCGGAGACGAAGAAAACGAAGACGAAGTCGCCGAAGACGATTCAAAGGGTTTCGAAAGGGTTGTCGGCGGCGGCGGCCTTGAGAGGAAGAGGGTTCGAAACGGAGAAAGTTGGTTGCGGACGACGAGGGTTTCGATAATAGCGCTCAGAAAGGGATTGTGGGAATAGTACAGTTTTAAATTGAGAAGGATAATTTGGGAATGCAGTTATATGGGTATTGGGTCTGTACACTTTTGGGAGTTAGTTACTTTTATTTTTTTTTATAAGGGCTTTGGGTTATGGTTCTTGGGCTGGGAGTGAGAGTGAGGATGCATGGCCCAATTATATTTAGTTCCTCCAAGCAATTTTCCCTAAAATGATAGTTCTGCAGAGTGAGGATGCATGGCCCAATTATATTTAGTTCCTCCAAGCAATTTTCCCTAAAATGATAGTTCTGCTCTGCCCTGCTTGATTAATTTGACATATTATTCAAACTTATGAATTTTAGAAGCAGTAGTGCTGCCACGCGAGTAAGTAACTTATGGGTAAATTTATCCCCAATGTGGCATGATTTTTAGTTTTATACAGGGTTCTCATGTTTTGAGCATGATGTTGTCACAGCGACCAATCTAAAATTATTATATCTCAACAAGTAAATCAACCTAAAGCGTTACGAATGAGAACCCAGTCACATAAATTCACATGAGAAACATCAGGAAACTACATAAAACATAAACATATGAACTGACTGCGCGCGGCAAAAATGTACCATTGAAAATTCCAAAGAATAATCACGTTAACTACTCCTACCATGGTTGAGTTCCAAAATTGGCAATCTAATGCAGTATTCTAATATTCTAATTAAATAAAAATTTATAAAGGAGTTAGAAATGATGGAGGATTTTAAATACCGGACTCATATTCTCAGAGAGCGAGAATAAGTGTCAATATTGCTCCTGCCAATAAAACGTTCTAATGAAACAATAAAACTAATTTCTAAAAGGAAATATATCTAAATTAACCTAATAATTAAGGGTTTCTTCAAGCAACAACAATTTCTCAGTTAAAACCTCTCACCTGATAATTTCCAATACCTCCCAACCCAGCGTAAGCATCTGTTGCTACTGCCTCCGTCCTCTTCATCGTCGTCGTCCTTCATATCATCACCGGTGAGCTCGTCAAGGGTCGGGGTTGGGTTCTTATTTCCCCCAATCTGATGGGTAATCTGGAGGAAGGAGAATATATGATGATTTTTGGATAGTGGGGAGCTAATAAATGTAGACTGCACGTGAAAGGCCCTCTTTATACCCAAATAAATTAATTAATTAATTAAAATAAAACTAAAATAAAAAAAGTGCACATGAGATAGTAGCATTATTGTGCCTCGTTTAACGCCCCGTGTGATGTGATGCCAATGTTTAATGCCCACACAAGGGAATCCGGTTCATTAGCTTATTGGGTCATTGTCTTGTTAGATATTTGTCCCCTAAATCTAGTATAGTTTGAGATTAGCCCTTCTGATCGTTGAAACTTCTACAAGGACCTCCAGTTTTCATAGTTTACTTTGAAACTAGTTGTGAACATCATGCAAAGCACGACATATCATTTTTCTTTCTGCTACAGTAATCTTGATTTTTAATGCTATAGTAATGTTTTTAAACTTTTTGTTGCTACAGTTCCCGGCGCTGCTACAAATTTCTAAGATGCTACAGTATCCGCGTGTGCTACAACGATTTTTTTAAAATTGTCCCGGCGCTGCTACAAATTTCTAAGATGCTACAGTATCCGCGTGTGCTACAACGATTTTTTTAAAATTGCTATTTCATGTTGCTACAGTAGTATTACTGTAGTATTTACTGTAACATGAATAGTAAATTTTGGGTCCTCCCATTTATATAGAGGAGTAGATTAGTTCATCCATTAAGACCATAGGTAGCAAGTAGAGCTAGGGGCTGTTTGGTGGAAAATTTGTAATAAGAAAAATAATAAAAGAATCGTATTTGATTTATTCTCTCTAACTACTTAGAAAAAGAATGATTACAACCCTCTCAATCTCAATTATAATTGGATTTCCTGATTACAAAAGAGAGGAGAATGATATGGATTCTCCACTTTGTTTAATTCTGGGTTCTTCACAGTGGCGATGGAGTGCCTCCCTCGAATGCTCGTGTCGAGTTTGCTCTCCGTTGACGATCCGCACGTGTTGATTCACTGGAACGGTATCTCCTCCTCACGATTTGACGTTTGTGGAGAACTTGCAAGGCAAGTTTGAAACTCTTAATGAGTTGATAACTCTGAACGAGTTTGAAACTCTATGGAAGAGTTGATTTAACCGAAAGTCGGTTATAAGCCAAGGATGAAGAAGCTCCTATTGCCGATCTCCAAAGCTCCAGCTGAAGGATGAATGATCTTCTTTGCTGCCAAGCCCTCAGGATCGAAAGATCAAAGAGGAGGTGCCCTTTGCTGCACTTCAGATCCGAAAATGTTCAAGGATCCCAAGATAATCCGCCAGCCCTTCAGACCTTCAACTCAGTTGAGTTTTTTTTCGTTTTTATATGGGATTAAGGGGGTGTAACCGCTCCTTAATTCACTCCTAAGTGGGGTGTAACCGTCCCCAAATCGTGGGAAACGATTTTGGAACCGTTCATCTCATGTTGAATGAGTCAAACAACACCCAAGTTGGCGTTCAGGATCCTAACTCCGCGTTTTAGAGTGGAGACGCGGAGTTGGGCACCTGCTGGATGTTGAAAAACGCGAGGGTCGCCCGCGTTTTGTTTGCTGAGGGTTGGAAATGCGGGGGTCATCTGGGTTTCAAGAACTAAAACGCGAAGGTGAATTCCGCGTTTTAGACGGAGCTAATTACTTATAGCTTCTTCTGTAGAGCGTTGTAAAGACCATTGTTGAGTGATCTTCGCCTTGGCTGCTCGAAAATATGAGAGTTGTCAGATTGTAACTCCCGATGTTGATTGTCAAAGCTGTTGATTAGAGATTTCATTGATTGTTGTGAAGATCGTCAGATTGTAACCTTCATCGATCTACGTGAAAGTCATCAAATTGTAACATTCTAGAACTCGTCAGATTGTAACTTTCATCATCGGTGTTTGATGGAAATAAGCTATCTGTAGTAATTTTTAGACAGCCTACAGGGGCTAGTTTGGAATGACTTATGAGAATTGAGTTACATAATGGCAGTTTTATGAATTAAGGGACTAGATCTAAAATAGATACAAGACTTCATTTCCTAATAGTCATTTCAATGGTTTAAATAATTTATTTAGGAATATCAAAGATTTGATGAACTAATATTAAATAGTTTGGAATGACTTACGAGAACTGAGTTACATAATGGCAGTTTCATGAATTAAGGGACTAGATCTAAAATAGCTACAGGACTTAATTTTCTAATTAGAGCCATTTCAATGATTTAAATGATTTATTTAGGAATACCAAAGATATGATGGACTAATATGTAACAAGTACTATTGAGGAGTACAGGTAACTATTGCAGGCTTATGTGAAGAATCTGGTCAGAGGCTTTGAATGAATCCAGAGGACGAGTGAGTTTTCGTATCAAACTTTATAGGGAGGGGAGTTGTCACAGTCAGAGACTTCTGGAAAATGTTTCTTTTATTTTTCTGTATTTTAATTGATGAAATTTTCTCACAAAATATAAGGCTTAAAGATGGTTCAAATGTAGAACCTTTGAGTAGAGAGCAAACCTATCTAACCATCACGGTGGACCCTGGATGATTATTTAATAAGTTCACTTGATTTAGAGTATGGTTAATTGCATAGATAAATATTAGTCTCATTCTTTCACTATTGAGAGACTTCAATTTTTAAGAAGCTACTCTACAAATGTTTCGTTTCAAATTTGATCTTTATTGTATTCAATTTCTTAGGAGTTACTCCGCAAAGCTTGTTCGGTATAGTGTATGTTTTGAAAGTTGTTTGTCTTAAAATTAAATCAAATTTCTTCATCAAAAGGCCCCATCAGCAAATTAAATGGTTTCCTCCGGTATTTGCTCCTCCTTAAAAAAAGAACAGCGCATGCATTATCTACCGCAATACATTTCCTTAAGATACAAATTGCAAGAATATTACATCAATGTATAAACTATCATGGACTACTACAATGTATTTCTTTGAGATACAAATTAGTGGGGGGTTGTTACTTTAAGAGGAGAAGAGATTGGAATTTGTTTTGAGGGGGCTCTGGTAATGGGTTTTGAGGTTGTTTTTTCTGTGTTGTGTCTTCTCAAAGAGAATATTGCACTATAATGTGTTTTTTCTGTGTTGTTTTTTCTATTTTGAGGTTATTGTAGAACCTTATTTCCAATCCTTTCTTCATTAAGCTGGGAACAGAGATCAAGTTACGATGCATTCCTGACGCATAAAATATATCTTTGAAGATAAAAATATTATCCTCAGGATCTAATCTATACGAACCAATATCTCCTACATTGAGATAGGTATTGTTTCACATATAGATACTTGTTCTCCTTTCTTCGGATCGGTAAATTCTGTGATTCCATTCTTATCCTTTGCGATATTTGTGGTCGCACTGGAGTCGATTCACCAACCACTAATATCTGTTATCATAGCATTGCATTCCGTCACACCGACGAATTCTCTTTTGCTAATACCTCTTTGTTCCAGATGCTTATAGCCTCCCTTATTCTCCTGTTTTTCACCTTGTGGGCAAGTGAACTTGAAATACCTGAACTTTCCATTATTGTAGCAGGCTCCGTGAGGTACTTTCTTTCTCTTGAACTGCTCTGATTTCGTTCCTAACTTTCCATTATTGTAGCAGGCTCCGTGAGGTACTTTCTTTCTCTTGAACTGCTCTGATTTCGTTCCTCGTGGTTGTGGTTTTACTGGGACCTGGGGTTTTTTCACTTCCAGCATTATGCCTCTGGGGGACAAAATTCATCTCCTGCTGCACCATGTTCAGTTCTTGCTCTTTCCTACTGGCTATTAAGTCTTGTTCTATCGCTAGGTGCATAGGAAGATCAGTGACAGATTTTAATGGCAGGGTTCATTCTTAATGTGGTGGCAGCTATAACTAAGGAAGGAAGTGGGTTATTCAATATAGTTGCCACCTACATTCTCCCCGGGATTTCGGTCCCAGCAGTGTATAAGTTGTTAGCCATGATAATTATCTTATTGGTATGCTCTACGATATTGTCTCCATCTTGCAAATAACAAGAATTATATTTTATGCAAGAGGAGTTGAATGTTTACTTCTGAGGTGGTGTCTGTGTCTTGTTTTTCTTTTATAGCATTCCACATGTCCATGGAAATCTCATAAGTTGTAATAACTTTGATTAAGTTAGCTTCCATGAACATGAGCATTAGGCTTTTTGTATTTTTATCTTTAGACTTTCACTGTTCATCCCTTTCTTTTCTTCAGTGTAGATTTATCAGTAAGGGTTGGAGCAATGATTTCGATTATATCATCAATATTATCATGAAGAAGAGCATATCCTATATTTCTATGTTACATATCATAATTACTGCAATTAAATTTGTTAAATTTTTCTAGTTCTGATAGAACAAGTTTACTAGCCATTTGGTGGAGAACTAAAACTAATTTTCCAATTAAAAATAAAATTAGATATATGTACTACTAATTAATGATAAGATTATATATATATATATATATATATATATATATATATATATAACTAGTATATAATATATAATATGTAAAACTTATGTCGAACTACAGAGTAGATGGTCCACCAACAGTTTATATATATATACCTAAGTAAAAGCTTATGTCAACTTAAGTTGATAGGTCGCTACCCAAAGTTTAATCGCATTGCATGTTACGCTAGGGATCCATGCAAGTTATGAATCAAGGGATAATAAACTCTTGGTGGACATGCCAAACTTAAGTTGAACAATAAGTCTTCTACTATATAATATATTAATATATATATGATAATCATATATATGATATATATATACTATATATATAGTATATATATATATATATATATATATAATATATAATATAAGTATATCATATATAATATATACACAATGTCGAATTATAAAAATAAAAGAAAATACCACCCATTAAAAAATAAACCGGATTCTTGTGAGTTGAAAAAAGAAACTCCAATTAGAGGGAGATCGTCACTTAGTGGTCTTGACTGAAGAATCACTTGTCGACGTTTTGGTGTCGTCTCTGATCACAATGAGGTTGAAGTTGATAATTAATGGGTTTTCTGTACGGATGTGTGGAAAAGCAGTA